TGAACTTAACTTTAATTAATGTAATGATATTTTATACTGTGATATGTGTTACAAAAAATAATATTCATTTTTAATTTAAATTATTTATTTTAATAATTTTAACCTTATCGTTCTATAAAAGTGTTACTTAAATACTTATATATAATAAATTTAGTTAAATTATTTGTTTATTTTGATAATTTTAGTTCTATTGTGCCATAAAAGTGTAATTATCATATAATAGCTTTATATGATATATATATTAAATTATAAGATTGTAAAATAAACACTCATTTTGATATTAAAAATAATAGTAAATTAAAAAGATAATTAATAATATAAAATTAAAAGTGATTCTAATTATTTTATTTTTAAATTTATATTTATTTAGAAAATAAAAATATGTGGAAATAGAACTACACATAGTTTATTTAAAAGATTAAATATAAATGTATTGTGATTAGATTTAGAAGCAAATATATAAATTAATTATATAGAATATTAATTTTTTTTGTTAATATTATTTTTGAATTATTCATATATATTGTATATAGGCATACAAATTTAAATTAAATATAAATATTTTGTAATAAATAATTTCATATTAAATAAAAAATTAAATATCAATTAATATTAAGGCATCAATACGATAGACAAACAATAAAAAATATAAAAGAAAAATAATTTGAACCGTACAATACACATAATTAATCAAATTCTGTCTTATTTATTTATTTGTATATCAAGATAATTTTTTTTTCAAATATTACAATAATTAAATTAAATTAAAATACAAACTATATAAAAAAAACTGACGATGACAAAACTAAATACACGATGAAAAATATATGAAAAATAAGTATTTCTCAAATAGAGTTCATATAAAATTAGTTATTATAATTGAAATTGAGTTTGTGTACAATTTTATATGTAAAATGTGATTTTTTTTAGACAAAAAAATAAGCCATAGAATGTTCCACCTGAGTAATAAAAAAAAACACTATTTATATATCTATATAATGCAGCAGAATAGTTTTTGAAAATGTCTCAAAATGTATTAGAGATACATTTTGAATCAACGGTTCATATTATTTCATCTAACCATTTAAGGATCAATATGATTTCTTTACTTTTGTTTTTTCTCCCAAAATCTCTCTCTCTCTCTCTCTCACTCAAAGTCGTTTCCCAAATTTCAAGTGTAGCGCACTACTTTCTCAAACACAATTGTCTTCTTCATATCTAACATTACCATCTAAAACTTTGCACCCACCCAACCTTCCTCTTTCTCTTTCATGTCTCACTTCATTCTCTCTCTAAACTCTTCTATCTCTCTTTCTCTCAGCCTCACTTTCCAGATTTGAAATTTTAAAACACATATTCACTCTCTCTCTCCCCCCACGCTCTTCTCACACTCTCTCTAAACTCTCCTATCTCTCTTAAGGCTCTCAGCCTCATTTCCTCCCGCCCCAAACCCAACAACCCGGCAGCGTCAACGAACAAGTCTTGTTATGACCCGATCCGAGAGCAACGTTGGGGACTCTAGTCCTCCGAAACGTCAACATTTCGGTTGAGAAATCGCTCACCGTGAACGAACCGTCACCGTACGATATCTGGTAGAGACACATCTGACGGTTGTTGCAGCCCGGTAAGTCAATTTGGTCAGATCGAAGATTGAGTCTGTCTGAGTGTAGCATTTTCACCGTAGGGAGCATTGGATCCAAATGAATCATCGCCGTACGATACCTGTTGAAGTCGCGGCCGACAGTAGTGTTGTCGTAGATAACCGCGAATAAGGTTTTGGCTTTACGTCGCGCTGGAGGGGGCATGGAAGAGGCGTTCTGGGGTTGCAGTAAGAGTGGTTTTGGAGAGGGCTGTTGTTGGTTAGGGTGGTGTAACTATACAAAGAGGGTGATTTTGGATTCTGATTCGGCAATGAGGGTTTTTTAATCTTGGATTATTGTCCATAAGAGAGACTGTGGTTTGGAATTGGTGAGGTTGAAAGAGAGAGATAGAAAAAGGAAGATAAGTGAGAAACCAAACATTAATTTTATTTATTTATTTATTTATTTTTTCTATAACTCGGGCATGCCCTAGATTTATGGTTTTATGTGTTTTATGCTCTTAAAAGTGAAGAGTGTGCCCTAGATTTATGGGGTTTTTTGTAGTTAGTAAAAAAAAAATAAAAAAATAGGGACGAGGGATTTGGAGGCAAAAAACATGTGAAATTGGTCTTTTTTTTTTCTTTTTTTTTTTTGTATTTGTATTTGCATTTGCATTTGCATTTGCATTTGCTTTGTGGCTACTGCTGCTTGGTTTGATTACGATTATGTTAAAAAATGTTTGTGGAATTTTGTTTTAGTTTACAAAGTTGAAATTAAAATTTGAATAAATAAAAAAAGTTGAAGTTGTTTGGTTATTAAGAGACAAAACATCATTAGAAATATTTATGTTTAATGGTGAGATTAAAATATAATTAGAAGATTTTTTTTTGAAAATATTTTTTTCTTTGGTGAACAAATTTAAATTCAAAATTTAAATTGGGGTGTTAACAAAAAAAAAAAGTGATTTAGTTTTATTATTAAAATGTAATATTTTCACAAGGAGAGAGAAGAGAGATAATGGGGGTGGTATGATTTGTTTAAAGAGTGAAAAAGTCTACCTCAGAGATAACATATTTTTATTTTTGAATAATTAATCAAACCTATATTTATATTTTAATCTCAAATTTTTTAAAAATATATTTATTTAATTCATTTCAAATAACTCTCAACTTCTTTTCTTTTCATTCTTTGGCTTCGTTTGGGAAGTTGCTATTTTAGTAGGCTATTTTAGTTTTTGGCTATTTTAGTAGATTAAAATTTTTTTGTTTGAAAAGATGATTGGATTTTTTTGTGGTTGGATGTGATGTTTGTGAGAGAAAAAGTGAAATGATTATGGATTTGATGTGATATTTTGTCATATTAGTTATTTTAACATATTTTATCTTTTTGTGAATTTTGGCCTAAACTAGGCTATTTTTTTCTTGCCAAACACCTCATTTCTTTTTTTTCTTTTTTTTTTTCTTTTTTATTTTAGAAAGGGAGTGCACTCACGTCACCTTTTTTTGCCTTAAAAGTCAGGAAAATGCTAGAGGTCTCAAATTTTCTACCAAATAAATGACCAAATGTCTCACATGGGTGTGGGGTCCGCAAAATTGTGGACCCCACACCCATGTGAGACATTTGGTCATTTGTTTGGTAGAAAATTTGGTGTCCCTAGCATTACCCTAAAAGTCAATCCATGTGATGATTTCAAGGTATTTTGTTTTGGCAAACATGCTGCAGACCCAGTGGGGGTCGCACCCCAGTGAGGTGGCGAGTCTCACTGGCTGAAACTTAAAAAAGAAAAAAAAAAATTTAAACAGTTTTTTTTTTGCTCAATCACGGTGCGCTACCTTACTGGGAGCCGACCCCTAATGGGTCGAAGCATTTTTCTTTGTTTTGGCCTTTTTAAGCATTCCACGTTGGGATAGCATGTGGTGTGCATCCCGCGCACCATTATGGTTGATGTTATCACAAAGTGCTCGTTTGCGAATTTTGATTTTTAATAAAAAAAATTAAAAAATTGGTGCAAGTTGTTAAATTCTTTATTTTAATTTTTATATGTTTTTATAAAATCGAAAAAAACATTAAGGCCTCGGTTGGCAAGTGGCTTTTTTAGTTAAAAAGTTAAAAAGTCACTAAAAAAATCAAAAAGCCAACGACACATATCAAAAAGTCAAAAATTCTCTTTTCTCTCTACTTTTTGCACATCTTTTTATAAAAAGTCAAAAAGTCATCCCAAACATACTAATTTTTTTTAGTTCATATTTTAACCAAATAGTCAAAAAGTTACTAAATTAACATGTTCTCAAACGAGGCCTAAAAATCAATTCCCGAAGACTCCCTAAATGGTAGACTCATGAATTGGATTAGATCAACTTCGAATCTAAGCTTTTGAGTCGGATCTAAACTTCCTTTTTGTAGATTTTGTAAATAAACTTTTAAAAATTTATTGGTGTCTTTCTCAAAGACTATTTGTTGATAAAATTTAAAATGTTTGAAAAAGAAGATAAGAGAATATTGATGTAATTCATAGTTTTATATAGAATTCTGCATTTGTATATGGTGGTGATTTTGCTAACCCTTTCTCCAATAAGGAATCAGCACGTGCAGTAGTATCTTAGAGCAAATCCAATAGTTTATAGTTAAAATGAATAATTAAAGTTATAATTTAGTAATAAATAGTGTAAAATAGTTATAAAATAATAATGTTACTCTAATGGTTAAATTACTATTTTTTGCAAAACTGTGCAAAATTTTTACCAACTAGTCAACCATCTGGTCAACTACCAGGTCGATCACTTGCCTTCTAAAATTGTTGCATTGGTAGTTTTAACTATAGGTAAAATTAGTATCAAATTTGACAAAAAATATATCAAAAGTATAATTTAATAATTCTGATAATTCATTGTTTGAGATGAAAAAAATAAAATCCATACTATTTTAAAATAATAACAACTCCAATACCTTACTGTTAGAATGACTCTTAAGATGTGCATAATAATATTAATGATATTAGTCCATCTCTCCTTTTGATCCGAAAGTAATTACAGGTGGAAAGAATTACTCGTGTCGTGTCACATTATTTCCTTATGCAAGGTGTATTAAGCCTCCGTTTGGGAAGTGGGTTGGCTTTTTAATTTTTTAATTTTTTTGACTATTTTAGCCTAGGCTATTTTAGCCTAGTTTGGGAAGGACTTTTTGATTTTTTGACTTTTTTTTATGAGAGAGAATTGTAATAATTATAGGTTGAATTTGATATTTTATTTTTTATAACTAAAATAGTCTATTTTATTTTTTGTGACTATTTTAATCAAAAAAAAAAAAAAACTGACTTTTTTCTTCTCAAACGGAGCCTAAGTACGATGTGCGCTTAGTCTAAAAGCCGACTTAAGTGATCAAGTAGTCGTCTTCAACCGACCTGACTAAAAATGACCTTTTACTACCATATAATTTGCAGCCAACTGAGTATCAGTCGCAAATAGCCAATTTATGCCCTATTTTCTTTTATTTACTTTCCCCACTTTTTATATTTGCCCTAGTCCCTTCACAAACGCTGTCTCTCTCTCTCTCTCTCCCTCCCTCGGTCTCACATATGAATCTCTCTGGTCTCTCAATCTAGTCTCTCTCTCTCTCTCTCTCTGTATCTCTCTTTCAATCTTGTGCTCTCTCTCCTTGATGTCCTTCTCAGATCAGCACCTCTGCTATGTCGATATCCTTCATCCTCTTCAGGTAAACACACCTATATATGTACCTCTATATATTATGTATATGTGAATTTCAAAATTGAAATTGAATTTATTCTGTTGAGGTCCGAGCAAGAATCGAAGCATCCGTCCTCAACTTCCTCAAGATCTTGAACTCTTCGACTCTGTCAATCTCATGTCTCTCTGGTTTGCAATTTTGCTTCAAATCTGTACTCTCAAAATGTGTATGTGTGTGTGTTAAGCATTGAATCACTGTTGATTTTGAGTAGATGAATTTGGGGATTTTTGAGTGTGTTATAAATCGAGATGGAGTAATAGCAGAGTGAGTTAGAGTGTGTTGATTGATGTTTCGTGAATTTTTCTCTCACTTGTTTTGCACGAGGTCTTTGATGAGAGTTAACACTGCTCAATCCTTCATCAGAGGTAATAATAGGATCATCATCATCTCTCTTTCTCATTTGCCTTATTAATCTTATCTTTTTTAAAAATTTCAGACTCACTGATATAGATACAGATACAGATACAAACAAAGGCTCCCTTTGCTTCTCCAAAAAATGTGAATTTGTAATTTTTTACTCAGTCTAATTTGTAATTTTCATTTAATTTTATGTTCATTTAGTTCATTAAGGTCTATATGCTTCAACTTTAATTTTGGCCATTCCATTTTTGTTTCTTTTCTTCAATTTAGGATAAATTAGGCCTGTGTGTGTGTTTGGTTATCATGAATTGTTTATTGTTTTTGTTGAATTAGTGCTGTGCTTTGTGTTTTGGATACCTAACTAGGGTCTTTTATTTGTGTTTTGAACATGTTTAAGGTTCTATTATTTTTAGTGTGATTTGATTGGCAGCGGAGAATGGGATTTCTTACACCTGATCAGACTGGGGATCATAAGATGTTTATCATGCTCTTTTTCACGTTGCCGATTATTTTTGGATATCTTTTGGTTTTTTTATTTTATTTTTATATTAATTATATATGAGCAAATGATGATTTATATCAAATGTTTGTGGCAATGCTCTGTTTGAACTTTCATATGCAGAGAACGCCTTTCTTCTAGGGAAGAACTTTTGTCTTGTTTGAACACTTGAACATGCCACCTATGTATAATGACATCCTGTTCTTCCTAATGAGATTTCATTCCCGATTCTTCATTCTGCTGTTCTCTCTCTCTCATTATGAATTCCCTCACCCTGGTTCAATTTATATGCACTGATCTGAATTAGCATCTTCAGTGCTTACAGTCCATTGGGTATATTGCATTGCATCATTTAGGTTATGCCTAGATGCGAGTTAAGAAAAAAGTATTTCAATGATTATTTTTCAGGTATCTTTTATAGGATTTGTAGATGGATTAGTTGATGTTTCTCAGAAACACTTCCCATTTTCAGCCAAAAGTTAGACAAGGATATGGGTTCATGCACACACAAAACAATCAGAGTGTGATTTGTTGTCGTCCTCTCCTATCTTGTATTATTTATTATTTTTTCTCTTTGGTGGTTTGGTGTGCTTGTGCACACGCATGTGTGTACACTTTTGGCATCAAGGATATGAATCTTGCATGTGTACCAAGCAATAGAAGCTTGATTTATTGTTCTTCTTTTGGGATGTATATGTGCACCATAGTAAACTGTCTCAGGCTTCATTTAGGGATGCCTAGATCAGATGACCATGTTTTCTCAAGCAAAACTTGAACAAATAAAAGTTTGTCCTCCATATGCACTTAACACAATTGTTTCTTCAATCTCACCCTATTGTCAAGCTCTGTCTGCGACAAATACTATCTGTATTATATCATTGTTTGGAGGTTGGTCTGAAATATTACTAGAAATTGTCCAAAAGTTTAGTAGTGTGAATCGTGTATATCATATCTTTTAGACTCATGGATGGGTTTTTAGACATTGAAGAACTGGATGCATGCTAAAATGCTATTATCAATCTGACTTGTTATTTGTTAATTGGAGTCTTTTGTGTAAGAGCAGCAGCAAAAACAACTTGAACTCATTCTGGCAATTGGAAAGACTGGAAAGGTATAATTTTGTGTGTACGTGGACATTACATCATGTATCTTTAGGAAAACTTTTGCTGCTGCTTGTTATTCTTTGGGTTTCCATCATGCATCTTTTTTTGTATTTAGTTGCTATTCTTCCAGTTGTCCAGAAGCAACACCAACTTCTTATGACTTTGCTCCTATGTCATGCATGCACTATGGAGGTTGGTGAATGGAATTTATATTTCTAGTAAATATATGAAATTTTTTCTTCACTGTCTGGAATTGACCTTTGCTTTGTATTTTTTATTATTATTTTGTCCTTTAAATTATTTGTGTGCATGGTACTCTATTTTTATTATCTTATAATTATTTCCTCATTTGACATCTTGGGGATGTATTTATAATGGTAAATTATTAGTTAAATTTATTTGATAAGTGTGCCTCAATTTTGTGTGATTCTTGAAAAAAGTTTCTTAGATGTTTCAAAATAAAATTTTCTGGTTGTTTCTGCATACAATAACTTAAATGAATGCTTTAGGTGTAATGACAAATTAATGCTTTAGTGAGAGTTAGGTGTTGCATTGGGGATTTTGCTTCATCTTGTGTTCACATGCAATATTGTGAACAAGACCATTTCTGGTCTGAAGTTTGCAAACTAATTTAGATATACCAATTTATTTATTTATTTATTTATTTTGTCTCCTAAATGAATCAATTAAATGACAGCTTTATCTTAAAAAATTAATTTCTATTAGCTAATGATCTGTTGTCTGTTTGCAAGTTTCATGGTTGTATAATTTAGAAACTTAGTATAGTACTAAACAAGACTTCTAAAGGCAATGTACATAAATTATTTTGAGACCCATTTCATTGAGTTCTTAGATATGATGCATGGGAGCTCAAGAAGCAATATGCACATTCTTAATATAGCGACAAGGTATGTCTATTAGTTTAATGACTTTGTGTTACATCCTAATTATATCTTCACTCATTGAGAGGGAGATTAATGATATGGACTTTGTGCCAGACAGATTTGGGCCGGGCAGAGTTGTGCCGGACAGATTTGGGCCGGGCAGAGTTGTGCCGGACAGATTTGGGCCGGACAGAGTTGTGCCGGACAGATTTGGGCCGGACAGAGTTGTGCCGGACAGATTTGGACCGGGCAGAGTTTGGACTGAGTGTGTGCCACCCCGGATCGAACAGAAACTGCTCGGCCAGGAAGTGACCGGTCGGACCAGGATGCTCGGTCCGAGGATGGTCGAAGCCAGACAGACCGAGTGACCGGCGCCCGGAAAGACGTGGTCAGTCGAGGTAGTTGATTGACCGGCAGGAAGGCCGACCAAAGGAGGTACCCGGGCTAGGCTTTGCCGAGATGCCGCCTAGCCCGGTCCTCCATGTGTTTGTCCGGTTAGGTGCATGGGTATGAAGCATGGCATAGCAGTGGTAGAGCAGCTCGGCTGCCGAGCTCCAGCTGTGAAGTCAGGCAGTTGAGATTAGGTGATGTTCAGCAAGGTCTATGCTGACAGATGGGATAGCAGAGCCACGTGTCAGGAGATGACTGGGAGTGGGTAAGGGGCTCAGAAGGTATATAGGCATGTCTGCGCCCCCCATACGCGATAGACGAACACTCTGTAAGAAAATCCTTACACTCAAACACTCTCTCCCTTCTCTCTATTCCCTCTAAGGTGTGTGCTAACTTGACCGTCGGAGGGTTTTTCCGGCCACACACCGCCGGGTAGCTCATCCTTATTGACTCGCAGGTGATCGGACATCGACGGAGCTCGGAAGAAAGGAATACGGGCACGCCGGAATATTTGCTCCCCGTACACTCATCATTTAAGAATTGCATGCTCTGTCCAACCTATCCCCCTCAAGACTCTATCTCATTCATTCAATCAAACAAATAAAATTTTAATTCTTATTTAAGAAAGTGCTTTTATTTATTTATTTATTTATTTTTGTTGGTCTTTCTGTTTTTGTTTCCTCTAAATTATAGGGGCTGTATTTGGTTAGGAAGGCTTTGAAAAGCTACCAGATGTGAGAGAGAGAGGAAGAGATCTCAAACATCCTTCTTCTACCGCTTATCTCTAATCTAACCTCAAACATCCTTATCCTCTTTTTTAAATTTTTATTTATTTCCATTCATGGGGGGAAAAAATTAAAAATGAAGGAACACTTATTGCTTTGTATATTTTGTGGATAAACGATTGCTTCTAGGGAACTGGATTTACCATGTTAAACTCTATGCATTGGCTAAATCATAAAATGCTAAAGCAAATTTTGCTTTAACATGCTACGTGAATAGGTGTTTCTCCTGAAAAAGGCACGGGGGCAACAATATCTGATGATAATGATGATCAACTATATAGCGACACCAACATTTTCGATGGAAGTTTTGATGAACAGGTATTTTACTATTCTAGAACTTTAATTGATGAAATTGTTTCTCAACAAAAAACAGTTGCGGATATATATTAGTATAAATTATTTGTGTATCGAGCTGTGAGTTGAGGCATATCGTGAAGAGGAATTGATAGATTGAATTGTCCTCTGTTTTTGGTTTCTTAGCTTTTTGTATGAGAAATGATTAGATATTTGCTTTAAAGCCTGGATTTCCTTGAAATATGTTAGTTCATGATCAACATGTGAAGCCCTAGCAATTTTAATGCTTGTTTAAGATGCAAATTTTTACATTTTAGTTTTGTAGTATTGGACTGTCTAAAAATCAATCGCAATTGATACTATCTTATTCTTCCGAATTAGTGATGTTCATCTTATTCTTCTGAATTAAGTGCCAAGAGTCAACAACATATTACATTAATTAATTAACTAATTACTTGTTATTGCATGTTTCGTATTTACAGTATGATGAGGATTGGGTATTTGTCAGTTATTTTAACTTAAATACCAGTACTTATAATTTATACTTTCTCTTACAGCAAACGCGGGCTGAAACAAAGCTGCCTCGAGCAGCACTACTTTGAACACTAGGAAGCTCGACGAAGAGATGGAGAATCTTTCTCATGAGTATATTTAAATTCGAGCGTGCACGTGTATATATATATGACTCATTTACTTCTTTTCAATTCCTTGTACGTTTTTTGAATGAATTTTACAATTCATTTAAACTTCTTTCCACATGGAGATGATATATGTGTTGATACACCTATTAACTTTCTTTGGTGATGTGAGTCATGTGGCCTTGTTTATTTAGAATTTTTCTTAGCACTGGATATTCATTTTGAATAGAATAATTTACACAACTTTAAACCTGCTTTGGTGTCACACCACTAGCACCTTGCAATTTATTTATTTTTTAGAATAGGATAAAGTTTTTCTTGGTACTTTGAATAATTTCTAATTCTATACTTTCTTGATTTTTTTATTTTGTTTTTTTGCGACGGCAAAATGGCGGTCGCCATAAGTAGTTTAGGCGGTCGTGAATAATTTGCGACTATTGCTATGTTGTCGCAAAAAGTATTTGCCACTCCCACGTTTGCGACACCCATTTGCCGTCGCATGGGCCGTTGCAAAAGATCTTTTGCGACTTTATTTTTTATTATTTGCTACGGTTTATAGCGGTCACAAAAAGTGTCTTTTTTAGTAGTGTATGTTTCGAATATGATATACATGTTCATTTTTCCTTTATACTAGATTAATATTCACATGTTGGTTAGATCCTAGATTTGTAGGAAATTTGCTTGTTCTTTGTTTCTAGATTTTAGTTGGTTACATGGTTATAATTTTTTAGAATATTTGCATGATTTTAATTGATAGAATTATTTACATGTTTAATGTGTAACAAGTTCAAATGTAGCTCTTGCTAATTAAATTTTTACTTTAAGTATTTGGAGTAATAAAGTTTTGTAACTTGTTTATATTTATTTACATGTTTATTGTGTAAATTAAATTTTAAATTTGATTGTGAAGTTTTAAGGTTTATTTGCGTAACCTGTATAGCATTTTAATTTTAATTTTTTGCTATTGATTAGATTGCTAGATAAGGTTTCATTCCCATCTCTCTTCATTCACTACTTTGCCAAAAGTAAAGAAAAGCTGAGGGGATAAAATTTTGTCATCCTTCAATCATTACTTTGCCAAAAGTAAAGAAAAGCTGAGGGATGTTTTTGTGAATAATGTGTGCATTATATTTTATTGTGGTTTTCTATTAACCTTCACTATAGGAATACCAATGTGAAAGGGATTGGAAAAAAAAATTCAAATCCGAAGGAACAGAATTTGGGATTGAAATAAAAATATTTTTGGGCTACTAACCTCTTTGTTGAACATGAATACTAAGCGTGGAAAGGAGCATTTTGGACTAAATTTGAAGCAATTGTTTGCTTGAGTTTGAACTATGGTTATTTACCTATGTGTAGAAGCAAGTTTTATTTGCTTGTAATTGTTGTAGCAATTTTGTTTTAATTGCTTGTATTTGGTTAGCAATTTTTCAATTGCATGTAAGTTTGAAATTTGGTTTGTGTTAACCTAGTTCATCCCTTGGAAATTTAAATTCTAAAAATTGTTTCCCATGGATTAGGAATCAACATATTCTTGAAAGTTTTGTCTAAGGTTAACTGGGTTTTAAGTGGGACCGATGTGACCGCTCCAGTCTTCATAGAAACATTCATGACCATGTTCGATTCTAGGGAAATGGTGAGACTAGTTTTGAATTAAATTTTTGACTTTAGGATTTTCTAGTGTTAAGTTTAATTTCTGGAAACACAAAATAATGAAATTCAGTTGTATTTTTTAGAAATGACAATTGTCACTAATGCTGCTGCTAATGTTGGTGGGGATTAGAACCTCGAGGGAATTGACTTGCCAACCCCTGTTGCTGTAATCTCTGTGGTCAACCTTGTTGTTACTCCTGCTGTTCCAGGAGGCCCGCCCAACCATCATAAGTGCCTGGAGAAGTTCACGGGTGTGAATTTCAAGAGGTGGCAGCAGAAGATGTTCTACCTTGCTACCACCAGCCGTGGAGGAGAATAAGCAAGACAAGCAGAAGCTCACGACTTTAGATGCTTGGAAGCAGTCAGACTTCCTTTGCCAAAATTATATTCTGAATGGCTTGTCAGATCCACTTTTCAAAGTGTTTTATGCCAAGAAGTTGGCAAAGGAGCTGTGGGATGCTTTGGACAAGAAGTACAAGACTGAGGATGCTGGGGCAAAATAATTTGTCGTTGGCCAGTTTCTGGACTTCAAAACGGTGGATTCAAAAACCGTCATTAGTTAGTTCCAAGATTTCTAAGTGATTATGCATGAGATACATGCAGAGGGAATGTTTCTTAGTGAATCATTCCAGGCAGCTGCTTTGATTGAGAAGCTGTCTAATGGTTGGAAAGACTTCAAAAACTACTTGAAGCACAAGCGAAAGGAAATGACAGTTAAAGAGCTTGTTGTCAGGTTCCGTATTGAAGAAGACAACAAGAAGAAATGAGGGAGCACCTCCACTTTGAAAGCAAATGTGGTTGAGCATGGTGAGCCCTCAGGGGTGAAGAAAAAGCCACTGACAGGCAAAAGCTCAAAGTTGAGGGCTAGAGGCGGAGTCTCTAAGAGACCGGTCTACAAGCCGAAATAACCTACTTTTAGGTTCAATGGAAAGTGCTTCAATTGCAGAAGCGATGGGCATCGGGCAGCTAATTGCCAGAAGAAGAAGAAGCCCTAAAGAAGAACCCTCCACAAAACAAAAGTTGGGCTCACATGGCTGAAATGGAGGATCTATCACAAGATGTGGACGACATGCATTTGTCAGTTGTCGTCTCTGCAGTGAACATAGTGGGGTCAAACTCAAAGGAATGGTGGGTGGACATTGGAGCCACTCGCTACATCTGTGTTGAGAAGAATATGTTCACAACTTTTGAACCGATTTCAAATGGTGAGAACTTGTTCATGGGGAATTTTACGACCTTAGCTATTGAGGGGAAATGCAAGGTGGTCCTGAAGATGATTTCAGGAAAAGAGCTGACTTTGAACGATATCTTATATGTGCCGGACATTCGTACTTTATCTTGAGGTTGCTCTTGAGTAAGCATGGCTTCCGCATGGTGTTTGAGGCTAATAAGGTCGTGTTGACCAAGAACGGGGCCTATGTGGGGAAAGATATATGTCGAGTGGTCTCTTTAAGCTAAATGTAATGACTATTATCTCGAAAATTAATGAGAAAGCTTCTTCTTCTACTTATATGCTTGAGTCTCCTAATTTATGGCATGGTAGACTGGGCCATGTAAATTTTGACTATTTGCGTAGATTAATCAAGTTAAATGACATATCATCTTTCAAGATTAATTCAAATTACAAGTGTGAAACTTGTGTAGAAGCAAAATTGGCAGACTTGTTTTCATTCTGTTGAAAGAAGTACCGAGCCTTAGATTTAGTGCATAGTGATGTGTGTGACTTGAAAGTCATACAATCACGTGGTGGCAATAAGTAAGTACTTCATCACTTTTGTCGATGATTGCACTAAAACTGTTATGTGTATTTGCTTAAAAGCAAAGATGAAGCGATTGATAAATTTATTTTTTCTAAGAATAAAGTTGAGAATTAACTAAGCTGAGATCAAGGCTTTAAGAAATGATTGTGGTGGTGAATATGAATCCCCGTTTGCTGAGATATGTGCTCAATTTGGGATTATTCACCAAACCACAGCGCCATACTTCCCTCAGTCAAATGGTGTTGTTGAGCAGAAAAATAAGACGTTAAAAGAAATGATGAATGCGATGTTAATAAGTTTTGGGTTGCCACAGAACTTGTGAGAGGAAGCAGCTCTTTCCGCGAATTACATTCTTAATGGAATACCTCGGAAGAATGTAGAGAAAACTCCATATGAGTTGTGGAAAGGCCACAAGCCTTCATATAAATACCTACGAATGTGGGGGTGTTTTGCAGAAGTGGTGGTGCTTACACCTAAGCATGTTCGGGTAGGCCCGGAGTCAGTGGATTATATATTCATTGGCTATGCACATAATAGCAATGAATATCGATTTCTTGTGTTTAAGTCTGTTATTGTAGATATACACAAGAATACTATCATGGAATCAAGAAATGCATATTTCTTTGAAAATGTATTTCCTTGTCGTCTCTAAGAAGAGATTTCGAGTTCCATGAAAGAGGTTGAAGGTGACAATGATCACGCAGATGATCAAGTCGATGATCAAGCTGAGGAAGTAGATGAGCCAAGAAGGAGTAAAAGAGCTAGGACCGCAAATTCCTTTGGTCGGACTTCTTGACTTATATGTTAGAGGGAGAACCTTGAACTTTCCATGAAGCCGTGACTTCACCTGAAAGTCCGTTGTGGAAAGAAGCAATTAAGAGTGAGATTGACTCCATCCTACAGAACCATGCCTGGGAGTTGGTTGATCTACCCCCAGGCAGTAAGGCCTTGGGGAGTAAGTGAATCTTTAGAAGAAAGATGAAAGCGGATGGGTCAATTGATAAGTATAAAGTTAGGCTAGTTATCAAAGGATACAGGCAGCGAGAAGGCCTAGATTACTTTGATATGTAGTCACCTGTGACAAGGATTATATCCATTCGCATGGTGATTGCGATAGCATCTTTACGTGGTCTGGAGATATATTAGATGGATGTGAAGACAGCTTTCTTAAATGGAGATTTAGATGAAGAAACCTATGTGGAGCAACTTGAGGGGTTTTTAGCTCCAGGACAAAATAAGAAAATCTGTAAACTTGTCAAATCATTGTGTGGTTTGAAGCAAGCTCCTAAACAATGGCATGCGAAGTTTGACAATGCTATGTTGTCAAATGGGTTCAAGATCAATGAGTGTGATAAACGCGTATATGTCAAAGACACTGAAAGAGGTTGTCATTTTGTGTCTATGCGTTGATGACATACTCATTGTTAGTAGTAACGATGAGATGATTAGAACTACCAAGAAATTGTTAAACTCTAAGTTTGACATAAAAGACATGGGCCTTGCAGATGTAATTTTGGGTGTTGAGATTACCACAACATCTGATGGTATTGTACTTTCTCAATCTCACTATGTTAAGAAGATACTTGAGAAATTTGGTAAATCAGATACAAGTGTGTCTAGGACACCGGCAGACTTGAGTCTACACTTGACCAAGAATAATGGTGAGAGTGTCTCTCAGCTAGAATATTATTGGGTCATTGGGAGTTTGATGTATTTGATGAGTCGTACAAGGTCGGATATAGCCTACTTAGTTAGCAGACTTAGTAGATACACGAGCAATCCTAATGCCACTCACTGGAAAGGTAACGTTTAGGTGTTAAGGTATCTTCGTTTCACCCG